ACTGAGACTGGCCTAAATTTAATTTTAAAATGCTAATAAACAGTAAAGGAAAATTTCCAGCTGGGTATGTATACTTTACTAGAGTGAAATAATGAGAAATAGATCTAGCTTCCTTCTTAACTTTGGGCATATTTCTTAAGTCTTGTCTTACTTCTTACTTATAAAGACCAGGCATGGTGGCTCACACCTGTAATATCAGCATTTTGGGAGGCCGAGGTGGGTAGATCACTTGAGGCCAGGAGTTCAAGACCACCCAGCCAACATGGTGAAATCCTATCTCTATGAAAAATGCAAAAATTAGCTGGGTGTGGTGGCGTTTGCCTGTAGTCCCAGCTACTCAGGAGGCTGAGGTGGGAGGATGGCTTGAGGCTAGAAGGTCCAGGCTGCAGTAAGCTATGACTTGCCACTGCACTCCAGCCTGGGTGATAGAGGGAGGCTCTGTCTCAAAAAATAAAACAAAATAAAATGGGACATTATAGTATGTATGTAGAATTAAATAAGACCATATTTATAAAGTGCTTAGAGTAGTACCTAATATATAGTAGCTCTCAATAAATATCGGCTATTATTAACTAGAGGGATTGAAATGGTTTTAATGTTTTGTGATCAGTCAATCAAAGGGGTTTGAATTGTCTTCAGATGGTCCAGTTAATCACATGGAAGGAATCTACGTGCACTGAGAGAGTCTGAACACTTAGAAGTAAAAAGTCACAGAATAGTATATGACTAACAAGAAATAAGTGAAATAATAATTTCTACTAAAGAGGAAGAGAGTAGAAGGTATAGAAAATAATGTCACTCAAGAGTCTTCTAGAACAAAAGATGGAGAAGGTAGAGAAATAGAAAAATGATGTCTCAAATCAATTTAGAACCCAGTAGCAGTTTTGGGAGTCTGTGATATAACTTTTGAACACATTAGCAACTTGTCTTTTAATGAGATGAAATCATAGATATATTAGAGTAGCCTCAGCAATGTGGTTTATTTTAATAAAGGCTTCAATTTTATTTTATCCTACTTGGATAAAATTTTATCCAAGTAGGATAAAATAAAATTATTTTTATGCATCTTTTGTCCTCTTGTGAAAATAATTACACTGAAAAGAAACTGTTGAAATCACAATAAGAAATCAACTTATACTTGGCATCAAATATAGACTGAAGACTAATAACAGGCTGGTATTTTCTGCTTCACTGAGACTTCTTGCAAGACTGAAAAATATGGCCCTGTTGTATCTGCCTTTGAAAAGCATCATCAAGGAATCTAAAAAGCCACTGTGAGAAGTAATTTGTTGGCTTCCTGACACATCAGGCTCATTACTGTGATCCGAGTATCAGCCTTTGGCACTATTTGCAATTTTCGGGTAGGTCAGTAATGAAAGCTAGAAAAAGAATGACTGTGAAATCAGTCTTAGAGGTTATTCACAAATTCTTTATGCTGATGTTATTGGGTGAGTGATTTGTGTTTGCACATAGAGAAATCATAAAGCAGCCAGCCCAGGTAAATGAAGGGTAGCTTGGATGGTCATTCCAAAATACACTTGACTATCCAAATCAGCAGTGCAGCAATTATTGCTCATCGCTATAGAAATGTTATTATGACAGAAGAGTCTTAGGGGAGAGATAAAAATTGAACACATATATATATAAGGAAGAAGTTTATATTCTAGATAGATTTTACCAACTTTCAAAGCAAACTCTCAAAACCAAGTAGAGATAAATCAATATATAGTAGTAATGACAGAAAGTACCAAATTTAAAAACATTAAATAGATTTTTTCTTCCCTTATATTATAATTATTTAAAATACGTTTTCCAAACACAAATATGTAATGATTTTATGATTTATGAAATCAATGAGCTTTTGAAATGCTCTTGGTTCTGGCTAGAGTACAAGGGTAAGGAGGGTGGGCAGTTCAGAAGGAGACATGCTAAAAATCTTCAGGAATTAGCCTATAAAACCTCTATCAATTGAGCCTTTGTCAATAGGGTGCAATACTGTATGAGGCTTGTTAGCTGACCACTGTAGCAGCTTTAGTCTGTTTTGAACTGGAAAGAAAACATTGGTGTGCTTACAGAAAGCACTTCTCAGGTAGAAGGCACAGCCAGTTTACCACAATCTTTTCTATGTTCTTTTCTTGAATCAAGAAAAGACTTCTAAAAACATTTGGGTGTATACTTGGCATGTTCAGAGTAATCAAATCTTACAAATACATGAAGCTTTGAGAGGTTTTAGCTACATTTCCAAACATTCAGAACAGTTATCATGGACAGATGAGAGATGCTATTCCTTTTTTCAGTTTGTCACAGTAAATTAGCTTGAACAAGGGGGCTACAGTGTTCACTTGACTATTTTACAAGTTACATCAAGCATTTTTATGAACCTGTTGAACAGGCCTAGAAATAGTCTCAACAGTTATCTGGTACAGCTTGCTGCCTTCAGGAAGGTGATGTTGGATTCTTCTGTGTACGTTAAATTTTACTGACCTCATGCTGATAAGCCATATTTGAACGTGCTTCACTATAACATCTGTTCAGCTGGACCTTGGATCAAACACGTACATTTAATAAAAGACTAAAAAAAATTCATAGGTATCCTAACTGTAAGTACAAATCTAGACCTTGTTCTAATGGGATTCATTATGTATTTATCCATTAAATTTTCTTCCAAAGCAATTAAATTACTAGAAGTAAAATATCTAAATAAAGAAAAGGTCTGATGGGCTAACAAAACTGCAATTATGCCTAAACCATGTCATACTAAATTTTTTTTTTTTTTTTTTTTTTTGAGACAGGGTCTTACTCTGTTACTCAGGCTGGAGTGTAGTGGCAGGAACATGCCTCACTGCAGCCTCGAGCTCCTGGGCTCAAGTGATCCTCCAGTCTCAGTCTTCTGAGTAGTGGGGACTTCAGGTGCATGCTGCCACGCATGGCTAATTTTTCAATTTTTGTAGAGACAGGGTCTTTTCATCCCAGGCTGGTCTCAAACTCCTGGGCTCAAGTGATCTGCCTTCCTCAGCCTTCCAAAGGGCTGGGATTACAGGCAGCAGTGACTGCGCCAGGACTCATACTAAATTTTTAAGGTCACTATTGCTAGGTCCAAAGGCAAGTAAGAATATAGATAATGTAACATTATTTTTAGAACTACATAATATATCCAGACCTGTAAGGACCTGAGAAAGGAAAAGAAAGACTAAAGGACTAAGGTGTGGTGATGGATCTATAACTAAAAACAGTTATCAAAAGGCAACAGATATTTGGGAAAAAATCTTCTGGTTAGTACGGAGGCCAGAGATACGTTGGCATTGCTTCTGGAATTGGAACAAAACCAGTTTTTAATTGGTTTCAAAATCTGGAATGAAACATCTTTCCAGTCATCCATGAACTGACCTTATCCTGTAGAAGTTGAGTGAATCTTGGCTAACCATCTGCCTTGTGAATTGTTTTGTTTGGGCCCCTTATGGGACAGAAAGTACTTGTTGTGCAGTAGTTTCACATCAAGTTATAGTCCTTCGTAATGCTGCCTGAGTAGAGAATTCAGAGAGAAAAATATATCTCCAGGGAGAAAAATATAATGCCTTCACTAATATGCCTTGGGGCTTCAAGAACCTTCAAGGCTGGGAGTTACCACCTACTTTCCTCCATACCTTAGCATAACAGCTTCCAAAAAGAAGTAAAGCCTATTATTGGAGAAGATAGACAGCTGGACAAACAGACTGCATTCACGAGGGCCAAATCTATTTTAAGATAGATTTAACTTAGAATTTCACTAGATTCACTATTGTAAAACTAGTGTCTCACCCACAACCAAATTTCCATAAATTCTGGTTTAATAAATGAAGACTTTTGAAATGTGCATACTATGAAAGAAGTATGGAATAAAGGAGTCTTCTTAACAGTGCCCACGGATGGGGATACACTTTCTTCCTTGAATCCACTCTGCCCCCACAGTAGGGAACAGAAGTAAGGGAGGAAACTAAGAAGATTACTCAGCAATTCCTGACTCCTAAAACAAAACAGAAAACCTGTGGTAGCTGAAGAAGATAGTCTAAACTATTTTGTAAATTAAAAACCTACTTTTTTCAGATTGAAAATAGTTGAAATAAATAAGCCTCATCAAGAATTTTTAGTATTTGAGTTTGAATGACTGCCTAAGAAGTAATAGAGACTAAAAAGCAAGAAAACCAAATTTAGCTGCTAAATAATAATAGCTCTTGTATATAGACTTTTCAATTTTATAATACTTTTAAATATTACTGAGAAATGTTAGATCTTAATTCCAGAATGTTCTATGGCCTCTTCATTGGGAAGTATAATTTCAAGCTGGAACCCAGGTGAATGATGTCCCTCAGACACTATAGCAGCTAGGGAGGTACAGAGATGCGCTATGTATTTGGGGATTTTGGGTTGGAGGGTGGGGGACTCGTATTTCAGAGCGTAGAACACTTCGTTCAGTCTAAAGTTGCCAATGCATTAAGTAAACCATACTTATAATCATTCTTGAAGAATGTTAATTGATATGCATTACCAGTACCAATGTATGGCTATCTATTCCAGCTGATCCAAAGCATAATCTGGTGTCATATTGTAGAGCAAAAAAAGTTTTTTATATTCACTGAAATCAATGCTCCCCTAAATCAGGGCAACACTGGAGAACCATATATTTCCATATAAGTCAACTGATATAAGTGGGTGTTCTAGAGCCAAACTGCCTAGCTAAAATTCCAGCTCTACCACTTAGTAGCTGTATGACATTCAGCAACTAACTCAGCCTCTCTTTGCCTCAAATTCTTCAACTGTAAAATGGGGATAATAAAAATATCTACCTCATAATGCTGTAAAAGATTAAATGAATCAACCTTTTCAAAACACAAGAGTGCCTGGTCCATGATAAATATTCCATGGATGTTAGCTTTTAGTATTAATCAAATACTGCAAAACAGGAGATAGAAGGAAAGGATGCTAGTGTCATCAGTCCAGGTAGCTGAGACTCTGATATTCACCTATAACACAGAAGGGCTTTCGAGCAAACCTCAGTCTTCCTTGCCATCCTCTATACCGACAACAGCAACCCGCAGACCAGATTCGAATGATGAACTCCAAACCAAAGACGACAATCATCACGAACTCCTAAAATATCAGATAAGACATATCAGAGAGAAGCATTATGGAGCAAAGCACAGCAAGAAGCTCTATGAATACTTTTGGATATTTAGGCACTTTGTCTAAAGGATCTAGTTGTTAACATCTAACATTAAGAATATTTCCTTTCTCCAAATTAAACTAAATCTGGAGAGCATTTGAACCTCACATTGTTGGCATTTCCTATCACGGAATGCTATTCCTTTTCAAGTCACTAATACTTCGCAAATTTGGGAGTCAGTTTCAATACTAAGTGTGCAGGCTGAAGAATGAATCTGTCTTGTCTGGAATTTATAGTGTAGCTGACTTTAGCTACCCAGTAACATGTGAAATATCTGAAATAAAATAGCGGATCCTGAAATATAATGGCAAGTTTTACAGAAAATAGAGCTTCATTTTGCTGCAAGGAGTGACATAATCTCTAAATCTTCAATAGTTGTTCTTGGAGAAAAAGAAGCAAATATTTAGAAGTATACATAGTTCTTTTGTTACAGTGTCAAAATCTCCTTATAAAACAGTAAGTTTCAAAAGCATTACAGTGTGAGACCTGTATATCCTTTGCCAGAAATGAGACCCTGAATCCTCTGGATCTGAAACTTGTTAATTATTATGCTGCCCTTTGGCGAGAGCTGCCTAGAAAACACCTGTTCCAGGAAAATGACTGAGATTATTTAGGAAGAGTTGTGAGTTAACCCTGGGGAAAGGCCAGCTAAAGTAGCTCATTAAACAGTCGGTGATAGAATGAAAAACCAAATGGAATTTGTAAAACAAAAGCATCTCTGGAGCAAGCTTAGCACAGTCACCTTGTTGTTTCTTCCTATAAAGACAGGCATTTAATTTATCAAAATTGTTTTTCCTTTAAAAAGTATTTCTCTTTCTTGTTTTCAAACAAGTGTTGATTCAACATTTATAATGTAGAATACAGATTTTTATTATAACAGTTTAATTATAAAAGTGATATATGATCTTTATTAAAACTTCCAAACATCACAAAAATATAAAGCAGAGAAAATAAAAGTTTTAACCTACTCCCCACTTTCCCATTCTACTCCCAGGATAAAAACTGTTACCAAATTTATAAATGTGGCATTTTTGTTGCAAATTTCAGGCAAATGTCTGTTTCTTTAGTTAGAGCATGTGATGATATACTGCACTTTTGAAATGCCTAGTAGAGTTATATCATTCTATCCTTCTTTTATTTGTAGGATACTAAGTAATCCACAATATTTCTTATCATGGGAAATAAATACCTAATATCATCACCGCTTACTCACAGTTATTCAAAATTACTTATAGGATAAACGTTCAAAGATGACCTTACACATGGATAACCGAAACTAGGGTCAACATACACTCATCAATTATCCCAGGGTTTTGTTTCGTTTTGGCTTTGTTTTGGTTTTGAATGTATATCTGGGTAGTTGAATCTGTTCATTTATTAAGGTATCTAAAGTTCCAGATCACTTGTTTTTAATCCAGCATATCTTTCCAAATACAGAAAGCATACTCAGGCCTAAAATACCCATGTAGTTGTGCCTGTGCCCAACCTAGGTTGAATGGCAGGTCCACTTTTTATCCCTGTTCCTAATTCCTATTTATGCCAGGACATTTGGCACACCGGCTGTGAGAATTCATATTATGAGGGATCCCAAGAAAATCTCAAATGTGGCCTGAGCCCCCGGACACTATCATGTAGTAATTTTTCTTCTTCATGGAAACAAATGACACCAATATGCCCACTGATCTTAACAGATGACAGATATATGCCCATTGTTCTTAGGTATGCCAAGGTCACTGCACTATTTTTATGTTGCAGTGAGGCAGGATAAATTACATTTACAAGTTCTTTATTCAAGGCCTATTGTTCAGAAATATTGCTTGCTACTTTTTTTTTTTTTTTTTTAAGGAGGTGAGGGAAAAAAATGACAAAATTTATAAAGCAAAACTAATGGGGGTGAAAGGAAAAATAGACACATCTTAAGTCATATTTGGGGACTTTATCACCCCACCCTATCCCTGCTCAGAACTATGGGAATAGAACTACCAGAAAGAAAATTAACAAGTATATAAACTATTTGAACAACACATTCAACCCACAGGATCTGACTGATATGAGACATTCCACCCAACATTAGCAGAATACACATTTTTAAAAAGCACCCATGGCATATTCATTAAGATAGATTATATCCTGGGTCATAAACAAATTTCAACAAGTTTAAAAGAATAAAATCAGACAGAGCATGTTCTTAAGCCACAGTGGAATAAAATCAGAAATCAGTAACAGAAAGACAATAAGCAAATCTCTAAACATGTGGAAATTAATCAGTATTCTTCTCAGTAATCCACTGGTCAAAGAGGAAGTCTCAAAAAATTAAAAAAAATACATTGAACTGAATGAAAATTAAAAATGACATAAAATATGTAGGAATCAGTAAAAGCAATACTGAGAGAAAAATTTATAGCACTAAATGCTTACACTGTAGATGAAAAAGTTCTCATATTAATAATCTAAGCCCCTACCTCAAGGTATTAGAAAAAGAAGGGTAGAGTAAACCTAAAGGCAGCAGATAGAAGAAAATAATACAGAAAAGAGCATAAATTAATGAAATTGAAAAGTGGAAAACAATATGAAAAACCCATGAAACAAAAAAGTGGTTGAGAAAAATCAATAAAATTGATAAATCTCTTTCTTGAGAGCTGACAAAAATTCTCAATGTCAGGAATGTAATAGGGGATATCACTACAGGTGCTACAACCACTGAAAAAATGAAGGAGTACTACGGTAACCTTATGCACATACACTTGATAACTTAGAATGGATCAAATTCTTGAAAACTACAATCCACCAAAACTCAACAAAGAAGAAACAGGCAATATAAGTAGCCCTATAACCTCTAAAGAAATTGAACTTATAGTTTAAAATCTCTCCAAACAGAAATGTCCAGGCCAAATGGTTTCACTGGCAAAATCAACTAGACATTTAAATAAGAATATACCATTTTCACATAATTTCTCCCAAAAAATAGAGGTGAAAAAGTTTTCTCAATCATTTTATGAGGTCAGTATTATCCTGACACCAAAATCAGACAAAGACAATAAAACGAAGCAAAACAAAAACTACGTGCCAATATCTATAATAAACTTAGATACAAAAATCCTCAACAAAATATTAGCAAACTGAATCAGTCAATATATAGGTAAATAGGATTTATTCCAGGTATGTAAGGCTAGTTCAATGGTTGAAATCAATCAAAATAATACATTACCTAAAAAAGCTAAAGAAAAAAAATCACATAGCCATATCAATTGTTGAAGAAATAGCATTTGACAAAATCCAACACCCATTTATGATATGGAAAAAAAACTCTCAGCAAGTTAGGAAAAGAGGTTTAACAGCTTAATTTGATAAATAGCATTTACAAAACAGCTAACGTCATACTTAATAGTGAAAGACTGAATGCTTTTCCCTAAAATTAAGAACAACCAAGATGTCTACTTTCATCATTCTTATTTGGCATAGTATTGTAAGTTATATTAATAGTTGCTGCAATAAGCCAAATAAAAGAAAAAAGGGCATGCAGTTCGGAAAGGTAAACATAAAATGGTCTGTTGGCAAGCTACATGATTGACTACAGAAAATTCCCAAGGAATCTATGAAGACACTCTTGAAATGAATGAGTTCACTAAGGTTGCATGATATATGATCAATGTAATAAATTAATCATATTTCTTTATACTAACTGAGCATGTGGAAATAAAAATTAGAAACATGATATTATTTACAACAATTTCAAATAAAAATAATACTTAACTATACACTTAGAAAAATACAGTTTATGTGCATTGAGAATTACAAAATGCGGATGAAAGAAATCAGAGAAGACCTAAATAAGTGAGGAGAAATACCATGTTTATGAATTAGAAGACTCAACATAGTAAAGATGTCAATTCTTCCCAAACTGATCTACAGGTCTAATAAAATTCCTATCAAAATCTTAGCAAGGTTATTTTTTTGTAGATACAAATTTATTTTAAAATTTATATGAAAATACACAGGACCTGGAATAGCTAAAACAATGCTGACAAAGAAGATAAAGCAAAAGCAATCACTTTACCTGATATTAAGGTCTACTATATAGTTCCAGTAATCAAAAGTGTGGTATTGGTGGAGGGATAGACATATAGAACAGTTAGCAGAGTAGAGAATTCAGAACAAGACCCACACAAATATGCTCAGTTGATTTTTTTTTAAAGTGCAAAAGCACCTCAATGGAGGAACAAGAGCCCTCAACGAATGATGCTGGAAAAATCAGACATCTATAGGCAAAAAAGTGGACCTTAATCTATATTTCCTACCTTATATGAAAATCATTTAAAAATAGACTATGGATTTAAAAATTAAATATAAAATAAAACTTTTAGTAAAAAAAAGATGAAGACATTTTTGGGATTTGAACTAAGCAAAGAGTTCTTAGTCTTGAGATCAAAAGCAGAAGTTAGAAAAGCAAAAATTGATAAATTGGACTCCATCAAAAGAGAAAACTTACTCTGTGAGAGCCTAGGTACTAAGGATGAAAGGACAAGCCATAGACTGGGAGAAAACATTTGTAAACTACATATCTGACAAAGGACAAATATCTAAAATATGTAAAGAAGCCTTAAAACTCAACAGTAAAAAACCAAAAACTCAATTAGAAAATTGGCAAAGATATAAACAGAATATTCATAAAAGAGGACACACATAAAAGAGATTACCCATATGGCAAAGAAGCACGTGAAAAGATATTTGACATTATTAGCCATCAGGGAAATGCAAATTAGATCACAATGGTATCACTACACAGCTAGCAGAATGTCTAAAATAGAAAATAGTGGCAAAAAATAGTTACAACACAAAATGCTAGGGAGGATACAGAGAAGCCAGACCATTCAAACACTGCTAGTGGGAATGTAAAACAGTGTAGTCCCTCTGAAAAACAGTATGG